TGCATGGAAGGACAGAAAGCACATGCAACACATGCAAACTCACGGGGGCACAGTTGAAGGTAGTAAAAGCTACCCATCTACCCCATTATGTACCTCCAGTTTAAAGCACTCAATATGTGCGTATAAGGACCTCCATGAAAGCTCTCCAAGGACGTCGCTCTACACAGGCTGAAGAAGGTCACAGAAGCTTTCCCCGTAGTTTCAACGTGCTGCCCTCCCAGGTATGGTGGCCGAAGGCAACGAGGAAGGAGAAGCAAACCATGGCAGAACGGTCCATGACATGGCTGGCGGGGGGGGGGGAGGGGGGCGGGGGGGGGGGCGAGGCGGGGCGGGAAAACTCGAACCTCGCCACCAGGGGTGGGGATAAGGACCCAGATTTTATCCCCGGTGAGTATCAGGAGCGGGAGAGTTTAAATTTGCAGGGCGGGGGCGGGTGCCCTGTTGCCATGCCTACTGTAACAATAGCTCATGTATTATTTTATAATTGAATTATGTGGCATATTCTGATAGGACAAGGTGAATCCATTAAGATAAGAAGCTGGACTCAAGCAATCAAAGACAAACCTAGGCCTCTAAACTCCGCAGTGAACTACACAAGGAACATGTATCTATTATTTTATTAGCTTTATTTTTTTTTAAATTAGTGGTTTGTTTTAGTGTACAAGTTTAAATGTTTATCCAATCAAGTATATAATAAGCATATTTGCACTAAGTAGTATAAAAACCCTAACTAGAGAATGGAGCAGGGGTATGCAAAGTGTATTGGGTCTTATATTAAGAGTCAAAAGAAAACAAAGGAAATAGGCATATATGTTGTGTATATGTTACCAAAAATCTTATTGTGAGGTACAAGAAATTATTTTGAATGCTATGAGCATGTATTCTAATCATAGTTAAGTTCATACAGCCCCAAACCCTATAATGGTAATATATAGGGGTGTCAGTGTGATCACTTTAAGATTCTTTTAGGAACAATTCTCTTATTAATGAATTAATTTGTCTATATCTTGTTGTCGTTTATACATGAAGAGAGTTGTTATGTATACTCTTAATAGAAAAAGTAAAGAAGTTACTTATAAATGAAGAGGATAAAAGAGATGGACTTAAGCCGTAATTCCTAAATTTAAGTGTAAACAAATTATTACTCCTTCCATTTTTTTTCATTGACGTTTAAAGTTATATACAATAATTAAGAAAATGATTGATATTTTAGTTTTTCAAAGTATTTATTACATATTTTTCTGTTATATTCTTTTGGTGGTTAGAGAAGAAATAGGTACATTAAAAAATGAATAGACATATTGATCCATAAACATACATTAATTATTAAAGGTAAAAATGAAAAACAAAATTAATAAGTCATTGATTTTAGAAAAGTGAACAATGTGTCACTTTAAAAAATAGGTAATAAATACTTTAAAAATTTAAATATCAATTATTTTCTTAATTATTCTACATAATCTTAAATATCAATGAAAAAAAAAAGGAGGGATTAATAACCTTTAAGTGATGCGATAAGGTATTTCAATGCTGAGACATTAATCATAAATGCAGTTACACTGGGCTTGTAAGTTGTAACACTTGTTCACATAGGAGAGGGTTATTAGGTGAGTTGAGACGGTCATGAGACATTTTGGCCTAAGACTATCGGTGAGCAAACTAAAGATCTTCGACAACATGAGACATTTTGAAGTAGTAATAATAACCTTGGAACTTTGGATTGTTACACCATTAAGATTAGGTCTCACTCCAAACACTAACATTTTTTTAACCATAAATTCTAATAAAGTATTCTTTATTAATTTTTTAATTAATATTCTTAGAACGCGCACCATTAAATTTAAAGAATGGGCCGTGAGGTTTACAAATCCATGAGCCTAATGGAGAGGTTCAAGTGTGGGGGCCAAGATTGCAGCGTGTTGGAGACAAAAAGGAAACAAAGTCATGCTGCCCTATCCTTCTTCCATGCTTTAGCAGACACTAGATTGCCTTCCATAGCGGCGCTTTGGTTTGTGGTTGATGACATGGTTGTGAATTGATTCTTTGAAGATTAATCAAATTAAAAATCTTTCGTTCATGTGCGTGGGACGCTCTGTCGATTTTGTAAGGGCATTTTTTACCTGCAATTCTGCAAATGATAAATTTATCAACATGTTGGCATCTCCTAATTATGCACAATACCCTGTCTCAAGTCTACTATTTGTTCCTTCATGTTTAGACTATAAAGTATAAAGTAACTAACTATATCTAGGAATGCATATTTAAGAAAACGGATTCATCCGGGAACATAATTAAAGGGATTACACTCAATTCTTTTTTTAACTTCGTTTTCTATCTTATCAATGGAACTACGACAAATACAGAAAGCTTATTTTGATATTCTGATTCCACAATCCTGCCCGTAATAATTCCTCCTAAATGTGAACTTAAATGGCTATCAGTTCAAAAGAAATATCTATAGTTCTAGAACAATATTCTAACCTTTTCATCTCAAATTAACATCAAGTGGTCATTACCTAATACATAATCATTTATATGATATAAGTATATTCATTCTTATATTTTACATTTTCTGCTGCAAGCATTCCTCTAACATACTAACCATAAAACAACCTCTGAAAAAATATTCTTGCTTTATCTGTTCAAAATATATCAAGCAGGACCCAACACCTTCGTTCCTATAACAAAGATATAGACCAGACGGAGTTGGGTCTGGCAAAAGGAACTAGTCTCTTACAGTGTCGCTAACTAATATTTGAATCTATGTTAACAGAGGTGTCCACATATAGTTTTCGTTAGTGGCTAGAACAAGATTGCCTCTAAAAAAAGATACTCAGTAAAAAAAAGGGCATAGTAGAATAGTAAAAGCCCAACTTGTGTGTCTCCAAGAATTACAAATTATTGTTCCCACGTACATATGTCTCATATGGTGAGCAATTGACAGCGTGTAGATACATACTGATGACCTGCACGTCACAATAACGATCAGGGAAGTATCTCTACCATGGTCAAGATGCGTCAGTTCAATGAAAGCCTTTGAGACAACCCAGCTTGGAGCCAAGTTGCTTCAGGTGGTCTTGGATCCACCTAACAATCTCTCCCACGTGAACACTCATTATGTGGTTGGTTTAATCACGCATTTAAGAGGTAAAGGTAATACACCTTCAGAAGCATCAAAGAACATCACTTGCCACATCAGCCAGTACTTTGTCTCATCAGACATCTTGGGAAAACAATGGGGTCAACCTTGACAGTTGATCCAAGGCCAAACTTGTAGACATCTAAGGGCTCACAAACTTTCAAGCTGAAATGATAACCTTCCATACTAGTTGATAACCACCTTTATTATCCCACACTTATAAATACTAGAACACCCTTCACAGATAAGAATCTTCTTCATCCTGAGATCTTGTTACTCTATTGAAATTTCTACTTGAGCATTGATGTCTTGATAGGTGTCACGACCTCCATTCATCATGCTCAACAGAGTAGCAGACCTCCACATTCGAGTTTTTGCCTGATATTTTGAGCCTCCTCAAATCAGGTCAGCATTTTCCTGTAGAATTTTCTGGTTCATTTCAATCCTAAAACTCAAGACCTATAGAATAGTTAATTAAAGTGAGTGGATCACATGTAGCAACAAGGAGCTCCACTAGTGCAGCTATTATAAAATATGGTTAACATATACATTGAATACATATCCGCCAGTCTCCAAGCAAAAACTTATTCTACACACTAGGCTTGAACATTTACTATGAGAATTTTATTTTAAATAAAACTAGTTTTCAAATTAGGAGATGATTCATTTATTGTTTAGAAGGAATGTGTCTTGCAACAGAAACAAAGGTAATTGACTTAGAAGGAAAAGAAGAGCTCAACCTGACCATTGACTCTACAAGCAGTGGCAGCCACCATTGGGCAGTTGTGAGAATTAATATGTATGCTTAAGAAGCATAGGAGGCTTTAGGTTTATGGTGACTTCGGATTTTAAAAATCTAAGAGGATCTAGTCGTCATGAGCTCAAACAGTGTGAAGCCCTATTGCTCACTATTAACTATGAGGTATACAACACCCTATTTGAGGGCCCGCTTTTGAATTCAAATAATGCATTATCAGCACTAAATAAAGTTTCGCAATGCTAGTAATGTAGCGCAATGTCTTGTCAAGAGCCATATCGCTTACTACCAACAATTATGACTTACTAAACATCTCGTTTTATTCGTATTATTAATCATAAAAAAGATGGAATTACGCCAAAGAAAAAGTTATCAATCACCAATAATTCATAATTTAAGTCAATTGAAGAAACGTTGAGACAATCAACAGAAATCAGATACAAGATAGCTTTTTCACTTTATTGCTTTAGGGAAAGTCAACTCATATTATGAGACTAAACCTTATAAGGTTGTATGTAGAGATAGGTTTCTCAATCAAAGTCTCCTTGCGCTATCAGTCTCCTTTAAATAAAAATCTTAATAAACCATTAAACAAGTGCAAACCCAAGAATAACAACATCAAAATCCCTTTAAATGAAAAGAACCATAGAACATAGTAGTAAGTCCTCACAAATAAGTAGTGAAGAGTTGGCTTGGCTTCCAATGGGTTTATTCAAAACTACAGCCAATAAAACACCCTAAAATGATGGTGTGTGTCATACATTCTTAAAAAAATTGACCAGCACAAGTCACAAGCAAACTAACCAATTACTCATCCAATTGTCGAATTTCAGCCTTCAATTGTTCAATTTTGAGACCCATAGACCTCTGCAAAGCCCCTTTTTCCCCCTCTGGCAACTTAGCCAACAACCCCTCAAACATGCTCAAAACCTCGTTGACGGCGGCACGTGCACACTCAGCTTCTTCGTCGAAATAAACAGTGTCTTTGGACTCCAACGCCATCTCTATCTCTTCCCTGGCTTCCGCGAACTTGAGGTTGATGCTGTCCACCTCCTTCGTGTGATCCAACTCGCCAGACCCACCACTCAAACTCCTCCGATTACACCGAATCGCGAAATGGGTGTTCGGGATGTTTGAAAAAGAGTGAAACTTTAAGGTGGACGCGACGTGGGTCGGCGGAATGAAGGGAGTAATTGGGGATTGGCGAAAAGGGTGTCTGATTCTTAAGAGCGCGTTCAAGAGGGAAAGCTTCACGCGGCGATTCATTCTGTTTGAGGGTTGCAGCGGCCACAGAGAGAGATACAATACAAGAGTGGCGCTAACTGCAAAGAGCTCAGGGTTGAAATGAAGAATAGCAAAGAAACTCTCCACGGAACTTCAGTATTCACTATTCAGGTCACATACACAGCAAAATAAGTGGTGTTTCCATCGTTATTAGCTAATCTAATTTGAATTACATAAGATTTGTCTTTATAATCTAATCTAATATAGTTTGTATTTTTAATATTAAATATATAATGAATATTTATTATTATTTAGATTTTATACCAGTATTGGGCTGAGAGTACTCGGGAGGGAAACCTGTTAGGCACGAGTTCACTTTGTAGCCGCCGGCCGAGTATTGCTCGGCCTCGTCGTGGTTGGGGATAGTGCTCGGCCTAGGTACGTCCTTAGCCTAGGAGGGTACTCGGGAGGGAAACCTGAGGCACGAGTTCACTTTGTTGCCGCCGGCCGAGTATTGCTCGGCCTCATCGTGGTTGGGGATAGTGCTCGGCCTAGGTACGTCCTTAGCCGAGGAGGGTACTCGGGAGGGAAACCTGTTAGGCACGAGTTCACTTTGTTGTCGTCGACCGAGTGTTGCTCGGCCTCGTCGTATTTGGGTGTAGTGCTCGGCCTAGACATAATATAAAAACAATATGAAGAATTCTGAACTTTTATTAATGAAGTGCCTCGTTAAAAACCTTGCCGACCCAAAAACCCTCCCTAGGGAAAAAATAGTCAGGAAGAAATCCTTTGTCATATCAAGATGAAATTCAGGGGGGAAGTCGCCGAAGAAGCATGCCTGCTGAGCCGCCTGGGCAAACCCAACCTGATGCTGAGAGAGGACCTTGTTGCGTACCTTTTCCCTATAGGCCCCGAAGGCAATCTTCTCAGCATCCAACCCCTTGCCCAGTATAGCAACCTTCTTCGCCTCGGTCTTCAAGGCCAACTCAAGACGTTGGACCTTCAGAGCCAGGTCGTCAGCAACTCGCCCCCGGCGATCCAACTCGGCCTGAAACTTGCCATTGGCTGTTTGGGCATCAGTGAGCGCCGTCAACGTCTCTTGGAGAGACTTCTCCTGCTCAGCCAGTTGCCGACGAAGCCCATCGGCCTCGCCGTTCGGCTCCATCACAATGCTTTGCGCCAAGGCCACAACACGCACTTGGAACTCACAGAAGAAGCTCCATTTATGAGCCGAGGTCATGCGACTCAAAACTCCTTGACCCGATTCGGAGGTCAAGTCTTGGCTCAGAAAATCCAGAGCGTTAACATTGTTAGCCAGGAAGCTTGGTCCAACCAAGCCTTGTGGAACAGTCGGATTGGCCAAGCATTGTTGCTTGGCCCGACGGCTCTCTTCCTCGGCCCTCGAGTCCTCGGGCCGTCTTTTTTCGCTTTGGGGCCGGGTGGCACCCTTGCCTCCCTTCCTTGGTTTGGCTGTTGGTCCCGCCCCACCACCTTGGGGAGCCGATTGATTCCCAGAGACGTGCACGCTGGCCGGGGGATTGTTCACTGTGGCCGCC